TGTCTCAAAATAAATAAATAAATAAAAATAAAAAAATAAAAAATAAAAGTCAGAAGGGCATCACTGCTCTGCAACATAAACCCAGCAGTGGCTCCCCATTTCACCCACAGCAACAGCCAAAGTCCCTATTGGGGTGTACAAGACCCAGCATGATATGCCACCTTCCCCATTAGCTTTCTGAATTCATCTCCCTCTATCTTCCACTCATTCATTCCAAGGAATGTAACAGGAATATTCCTGCCTTTGAGCCTTTGTACTGGCTGTTTCCCCTTTCCTGGAATGCTCTTGTTCCCTTACGTATCCATACGGCTGACTTACCTACTTCAAACCTTTACACACATGTCACTTCAGTAATGCACACCCTCAATACCCTATTTAAAATTATAAACCACTCCCATTCCCTAATATTCCCAATCCCTTGCCTCATCCTACTTTTTCCTTTTTCCAAAGTGTTTACCATCTTTTAATACTGCCATACGGTTTACCTGTTGTGCTTATTATCTGTTATCCATACCCCAACATTAGAATATAGGTTGTTTACTGATGCATCCTAAGAACACAAACACTGCAAGGCACATAAGTACTAGCTGAGTAAATGAACACATGAATGACTGTACTCCCACCTGAGCTTCCTTGCAGTGAAATGAGCTCCCTAGCATCCCCTCAAGAGAAAAGCAAGGCCCCTGTTTGAAATGCCCCCACTGAAGGCTTCTCCTGGGCTTTCCAGTTCCCCAGGCCACCTGCCTTACCTCTGCCTCAGGGACTGAAGGAACCCTCATGACCCGCTGGTTAACCTCCCGGAGGAAGGCATCAATTCGATCCTTCTTCTTCTCTGACAGCCTTACTTCCTTTAGTAGCTCCTCTATCTGTAAGAGGGAGTAAGGGAGAGTCCATCACTCTGAGGGTCCCAGGTCTGCCCCTCTAACCTAAGCCCCAGCCACCCAATAGTACCTGTAAACGGAGCAAGCTGGAGTGGAACAGGATCTCAGTCTCCCGAAGGCGATTCAGCTCCTCATTGGTAGGCTCCTTGTACAGTTCTGCCCTGCTGAGCTTCACTGGCTGCAGGAGGCCCTCCGCTGGAGATCTAGTCTCTGTTCGCTTCCTTGAAGATGCTTTCTTCTCCTCCTTGCCTGTGCCTTTCAGGGCTGGTTCCATCACCTGTGACCAGAGAGGGAGAAGCCAGTGTGGGGTCATAGGTATCTAGCATCTGTTGTCTTAAGTGTCACCACTATAGATTGTGGGTAAAGGCTTGACCTGCTTGTTTCCTCTTTTGATGGAAGTCAGATTCTGCAACACTCAGGATAATCATTACTTGGAGGAACATTACTGAGCTCTAGATTAAAAATTCCTTGAGGCCGGGCGCGGTGGCTCACGCCTGTAATCCTAGCACTCTGGGAGGCCGAGGCGGGCGGATTGTTTGACCTCAGGAGTTCGAAACCAGCCTGAGCAAGAGCGAGACCCCGTCTCTACTAAAAATTGAAAGAAATTAATTGGACAACTAAAAATACAAAGAAAAAATTAGCCAGGCATGGTGGTGCATGCCTGTAGTCCCAGCTACTCGGGAGGCTGAGGCAGAAGGATTGCTTGAGCCCAGGAGTTTGAGGTTGCTGTGAGCTAGGCTGACGCCACGGCACTCTAGCTCGGGCAACACAGTGAGACTCTGTCTCAAAAAAAAAAAAAAAAAATTCCTTGAGTTGAGGGCTCCCTGTCTACCTGACAGCACAAGGATGGAGCTCTACTCGGAGCTGGTAGGAGCAGAAGCTGACCAGGCCCTGCTCTAAGTAATGCCCAAGCCCCTTACGGTTTCAGGTACCGTGAATCCAAGAGTTTCCTCTTCTGCTGCTATAGACCTAGGACTTCTCAAATGGCTTTATCTGCTGCTCTATCCAAATTATGCCAGGTTCCACCTCCTCTAGCAAGTCCTGACTGTATCAGTACACGTTAAGTGCTCACTCATGGGAAGAGCTAGAACCTACGTGCCCCCAGAGGAAATATTCAGTATAAATATACATCGCCTCAACAATTCTTTAAGGCACTGGAAGGAAGTCCCATCGTTCACTGTAGGTTCTATAGTTGCCACGTTAGTATTATGAGCAGACTTCAAATCCAGGTCTGCAGGATCGCAAACCTCTTCTCCTACAGCCCTGGGAAGAGCCCTACTGGAGTGCTCCAGGAGAGCCACCGTGTGCCCTCGCTTACAGCGGGGAAAACAGAACTAGACACAAGTTCTGTGGAGGGAGGAAGATACCGCTCAACGTCAAGGAGGAGGTCCTGGTCAAGAAAATGACCCAACCTATGGGTCGCTCAATAAATAGGCTTTACTGCTTCTACTCAAATACTACCAGGTTCCATTGCCCCCAGCAAGCCCTGTCTCAGCGCGACGGGGTGGAAGCACCACGGGAACGGACTTCCTCCAAAGAGAGCCGCCCTCGTGTCCCTCACCGGGGAGCTGTAAGGCCCTGCCATCTCGTGCTCTGCAACCAAGGGAGCGCCCATTGAGCCTCCCTTCCTCCCAGATGGCTCAACCCACCTCTGGCTCCCCAGCTGCTCCGCGCAGCTGCTCTCCAGCAGGCGCCGGCCCCATCACTCCGCGCCCAGGTGTCTCTCCCGCACTTCGAATTCAAGCCAGGTCCACATACTGTAGTTTCCCACGTGGGCGGAAATGCCGAAATTCGGGGCGCGTGTCCAAGCAAGCCCAATTCCTCAGGACTCCACCCATTCCAGAGCCATTGGGTTATTGCTCCACGAGTCTCTCCCCATTGGCCTAGCACTCTCCGAGACCGCACACTGGGGAGGGGCCAAACGGCGATCTCGATTTGCGGCCTCTTCGCGACGTTACGCCGGAAGTCTAGCGGTAGCTTGGCCGTCGTTTCTTTCTCCTCACTTCCTCCGCTTGAGACGAAACAGGAAGGGCGGAGCCAGTTTGGACAGTCTGGTCGGGGATTGTTTGTTTACACCAGTGATTTCTTTTTCCTCATCCATTAAGCCTTATCAATGAACAAATCCTGTCTGTCCTACCTCCAAAGTATATTTTGAATTTATTCATTTTTCTCTGTCTTTACTGTCAGCTTTAGTCCTCACATTATGTTGGGTTTAGGTTATTGTAATGGTTTTTCTCCAGCTTTTACTTAGTAAGATTACTAAAATTTAAAGCACAGAAACGTTGCAAGAATAATATAATGAACGCCCACATACCTTCACCTAGATTCACTTAGTGTTAATGTTTTGCCAAGTTTGTTTTATCTTTCCCTATGTGTTTTCATATTATTTTGCAAGCCTTTTGAAAATCAATTGCACACATCTCTAAATACTTTGGCATGTATTTATTAAGATCAAGGACTACCTCTTACATAATCATAGTCCAATTGTAACGCTCAGGAAATTTAACCTTGACTCAATACTATTATATAAGTTCCATATTCAAATTTTGCCAATTATCCCACTTTCATTTCCTGACGCATAATCATCTAAACTCAACTATCGAATTTGTCATGTTTCTCTTTTCCTCTCTTAATCTGGAACATTTACAGCTCTCCCTTTTTTGGTGTTTTATGATGACATTTTTGGAGACTACAGAAAAGTTTCATTCAACAGCTTTTTTTCTTTTTAAATTTTTTTATTGAAGTAGAATATACATAAGGAAAAAAAAATCCACTTGTTACTGTTGCTACTCCAAGTATATATTTAGGGATACTCGAATCTATACTCCTGGGTTGCAGTCTTCAAACTTAGCTCAAATGAACTCTCTCCTTACGTTATTCTGGCCTCACTTTTTTTCCCTTTAGGTCGACAACAGGTTGGTGGTTAAGAGGAGTCACACTGAGTGGGATGGTTGAGGTCAACTCCAGGTTCTGCCATTTGCAAACTTTGGGTAACTTTTTAAACCTCTCTAAGCCTTAGTTTACTCAGTAAAATGGGTAGTCTAGTAATGACCATGTCATGGATTTTTGTGAGAATTAAATGAGATGCTGCATGTAAAGAGCCTGTCAAATAGTGATGCTCAGCAAATGTTAGATGTTAATTTTAGAGGAAGATTGTGGCTCCTTAAGAGCAATGTCTTACACATATGTTAACATGCTGAATGAAAAAAATTGGCGCCTTAAAAAGAGTCATTCTTTAAGGTCAAAATTAACCTTCATAAATCAAATACCCTTCCCTCTGTTTATCTTACCAAGATTTCAATATCTTTTCTCTTTGGAAGAAAGATAATCTTCTTCAGAAGTGCCGTGGTTGGAGAGTACCAGGTGATGTCTTAGAGACGGAGGGCAGCTATTCTGTTTTCTTTACCACCAGAGGGCACTAATCAGTCAAGCCAATCTCTACCTGCCATTATCAAACAATATGAGAAAGCTCTAGGAAGCTGTTTCTGCCATTCATTTTTCTGACGACTATGTTTTGAGAACCTAATATGTGCCAGACATTGGAGTAGCTGGTATATGGTTTTGGGATTTATGGTCTTGAGCACCTAGTATGTGCATGAGACAGCCTATTAGACATGGGGGGGAGGGGAGGGTTCAATTTGCGACTTTGTGATTACTGCTTGTCTTCCTGCCCTTGGCTGTGAGGCTCTGAGAACAATTACTTAGTGTCTACTTTGTGTCTACTTTGTATCAGATGGTGCGCTGCATGCTGAGGATTCAGGGATGAACAAGACACAGTTGCAGCCTACTAATAAACAATATCTTACTGGCTGAACTAAAAAGACTTAAACTAGTTCTATGGAATTCCAGTTCCTCTGACCTGAGAATGAAGAGCCTTGAGTACAAAACCCATCCTCCTAGCTTACAGCCATGCCCACAGTGGATACTTATAATGAGTTCGTGAGCTGATTTGAGCCCAGGGAGCAGCTTCTAGCCTGGGTGCCAGGTGTATGTTCCAGTGGGTAAGGCTAGGGATCTATTATCCTCTAGGTCAGGGTGGAGCTGTGATGAGTTTACGTGGGTGAAATGCTTTGAAGATGAACTTTCTGCCTATTTGTCTACTCATAGGCTTGCCATCAAAGTTGTCAACATCATCTCCCATGTTTCCAGGTCAACAATCTTCTTGTTGTCAAATTGAGTGGTGGAGGAGGGAAAGATAGATTCAGGCATAAGCCATAATATTGGGAGAAGGTGCTGCATTGATTAGGATACTCCCTTTCTTCTGAGGGAAGCTCTAATTCCTCTGGATTTTGGTCTCAAGACCGTCATCTTTGAGAAAAAGAGGACTAAAAAATGAAGGGACTCCTTAACTGTGGATTATGCATAGTGGTTTCCAAAGAGTACAGTAAAGGAAGGGGGGTGAGAATAACTTTAAAGTAGAGAGACCTAGCATACTACCTCACCCAGGTGATCAAGGTCAACATCGACATTGCCAAGTCATGTTGTTATTATGTGCTCTTGATATGATGTGATGAAAATGGCATTTTATCTCTGTGATCTTCTCCTCAAAAACCCGTAACCCCAGTCTAATCATGAGAAAAACATCACAAATCCCAATTGAGGGACATTCTATAAACTACTTGAATAGTACTTTTCAAAAGTATCAAGGTCATCAAAAACAAGAAAAGTCTAAAAAATTATCACAGTCAAGAGGAGCCTAAGGAAACATGAAAATGAAATGTAGGTCTGGTATCCTGGATGGAATCCTGGAAGAGAAAAAGGACATTAGGTGAAAACTAAGGAAATGTGAATAAAGTATGAACTTTAGTGAACAGTAATGCATCAATATTGGCTTACTGCCAGGCACAATGGCTGAGGCCTGCAATCCTAGCACTTTGGGAGGCCAAAGCAGGAGGACCGCTTCAGGCCAGGAGTTCCAGACCAGGTTGGGCACCATAGCAAGGCCTTGTCTCTATAAAAAAATTAAAAATTAGCCGTGTATGGTAGGATGAGCCTGTAGTCCCAGCTACTCAGGAGGCTAGGGCAGGGGGATCCTTGACCTAGGAGTTGGAGGTTGCAGTGAGTTATGATCTGCACTTCAGCCTGGACGACAGAAGAAGAAAACTATTGTAAAAATAAAGTCTTAAAAAAATGAATGGTGTTATCCAGAATACAGCTATGCCTTCAATCTTTTTCTTCCTTTAAAGTTCCTATTCATGAATCATTTACCATGTGCCAGTCACTATGCTAAATGCTGTATATAGATGATCTCATTTAATCATTACAATTGTTTGTGTTAAGTATAATTAATCTCCTTTTACAGAAGCTTATGAAACAGGGAGAGATAATATAAATGGTGGAGCCAGGGCTGAACCAAGATCCTTCTGATTCCAAAATTGTGTATGTAGAACTCTTATGGAATCCTGGCTTTACTAGGAAATAGTTTAGGCAGTTATCATAGGACATGCCTTCCAAAGAGAAAGAGTACTGTATTCTATTTTTTGTTTTTTTTTTTTCTTTTTTTCCCTACTCCCCTTCTTCCTTCTCCTCTGCCCAGTACTGTATTCTAAATTATGAGGACTGAAGGCTGTCTCCACGTCTTCAGTCATGATTATCTTACAAATCCCTCAGTTTCAGTTTGGACATTCAAGCTGAAAGGACCTCTAGGGGGTCAAAGTCCAGCCGCAGTACTTTATTTTACAAATGAGTAAGCTGATGGGTAGCCAGAGCACTTGGCTCAAATCACACTGAGAAGGAACTGACCCAGGTTCAGTTTGTTACTTTATTTCTCTGTCTTTCCCCATAACTTCCTCTTTGTAGTTAGGAAGGGAAGTAGGGAGCTGGCCTATTTACCTTCCCCGATTTCTTGTATGGGAAACTGCGTCCCCCGCCCCCTCCCGTGGGTGACTTGCCCAAGGGCACACTGGCCTGAGGGCAGGACATGCAGGAGAGATGTCTGGAAGGCTAGTTGCACCGAAAAGACCCACAGTCTCAGCACATCCTAATCAAGCACGTATTAGGTGCAGGGCCCTCAGACTGGGTGTCACAGGGTGGGGCCTGCAGACGACCAGGGCTCCTTCGAGGACAGCTGCAGAGGCCCTTGGATATGCATGGAGGAAGGCGCCGAGAGGTGTAGGACCCGAGGTCCCTTCCGGTGCACGCCTTTGGAACTGCAGCGTCCAGCCGCACAACCGTCACTTTGGGGCCCAGGCGACCCCGGCGGCCCGCCCAGGGCCCCACTGCCGCTTGGCCCTTTAAGGGCGGGGGACACGGGCCGGCGTCACAAAGCGCCGCCACCACAGGGGCGGGAGGAGAGGAGGCGGGGAAGTGGGAAGAGGAGGAGGTGGAGGGCGAGGCGAGGCGAGGCGAGGCCAGGCGGGCGGGGGAGGGAGGGGCGCGCGCACGCGCGTCGGGCAGCCAGCCGCCGAGAGCCGCCCCCCTCCCGGCGTGCGCCCCTCCTCCCTCTCTCCCTCCCTCCCTCCTTCTCGGCTCCGTCGCTCCCGCGGTGCGAGGCGCTCTCGCTGCTCTCCTCCTCCTCCGCCGCCGTCGCCCCTCCCCCCACGCAGCCGCCGCCGCCGCCGCCGCCGCCGCGAGACCCCAGCGCGCCGCGCTCCCCCCTCCTTCTCTGGCCCCGCGCGCCCTCCGGCCCCTGCGGCCCCCGAGGAGAACAAGAGGGCGAGCGAGCGCGGCGCTCCCGGGCCGGCCCGGCCCCCTCCCTTCACCATCGCCGGCCCTCCGCCGCCTTCCTCCGCTTCCACCTCCTCTCCCCCCCCCCAAGTTGAGGCCCCCTCCGGGGGGGGGAGGCCCGGGACCAGGAGCGAATTCCCTGAACTCCCTCAACCCCTTCCCCCACCCGGCCCGAGTGTGAGGAGAAGGGCCCGGCCCGGCCCGCGTCGTGTGTGAGGAGGAGCCCGGGAGGGCCCACGGGCCGTCTGGGGCCTGGTCCGGCCCGCCGGCTGTGTAAAGGCAGGGGCCCGGGGCGGCCCGGCCCTAGGGCAAGCGGAGGGGAGGGGCCTGGTCCGGCCCGGCCGGTGCGTGAGGACTGGGGCCCCGGCCCGGCGCCGTCACCGCCGCGATGGCCCAGCAGCAGATGACCAGTTCGCAAAAGGCCCTGATGCTCGAGCTGAAATCCCTGCAGGAGGAACCGGTGGAGGGCTTCCGGATCACCCTGGTGGATGAGTCCGACCTCTACAACTGGGAGGTGGCCATCTTCGGACCCCCTAACACCCTCTACGAAGGCGGCTACTTCAAGGTACCCCTACCCCCATCCCGGACCTGGCTTCCCCGGCCGAGGCCTCTGCTTCCCTTCGCTTTCGGCTGCTTTTGGGGCCAGGAGTGTGAGCACGGGTGAATGGAGGGGGCTTCTCACCTCGGCAGCCCCCTCCCCCATACGTGGAGGCAGGAAGGCCTTGCTCACCAAGTGCCTTTTCTTTGTCATGGGGGCGGGGGCGGGAGCGGGAGGACAGACTGCACCGAGAAATAAATAGGAAAGCCTCTTAGGTTAGGGCAGTGGCTACTGGAGGAGGGTTGTCTTTGTTTCCCCAGCTGTGGGAGTATGGAAAGAGGTGGTCTGTCTTTCCTTTTTCGGCCTCCCTTCAGAACCGTCCCTGCGCAGGCTGGAACTGCCCCAGAGGGCAGGGTGACCTGCAGTTACAGGATTGGACTTTTGTTTTTGGGGGGCTGAGGATGGGGACAGGCATTAGTGTCATTCCAGAAGCTGCCTAGTGCCCTGACATTTTGAGGATTTGTTGGGCTTCCTGGTTGTTGGTAGTGCCCAACTTTGCATTCCAATGGGCGGTAGTGAAGAATAGGATCTTAGGGGTGGTTAAAAAAAAAAAAAAAAAAGAAGGTGCCAGCGTCTCCTTGCCATTATCTACTGGAGGGAACTTTATTTTAGCCGTCTTTCTCTCCTCATTCTCCATTTGCCTCTGTCAGTGGTTCTTTCAAAATGCCCTTTGTCCTCGCCCAGCTACCAAGTTTACTAGCCTTTTTTTCCTACGTGTAGAAATATCCAAACAGGGTGGAACGTGTCATGTGGGGAGATTGATAGTTTCCCACTTTAGGGAGACAAAATTGAAACCTTTGGCTCAGGTGGTTAACTCTAGCAAATGGGTGGTCTTACAGGTGAAAAGTATCATCTGAGGTGAGACGGCTTCTGTGAGTGGGATGGCTCCTTAGATAGCTACCACAGACGTTGTTTCTATTGTTTTCCTTGATTTTAGAATGGTGGTTACCATCATTACAGAATCCAGTGTTTTGTTTTTGTTCTTTTGTTTTAACTCCAAGGTAGATAACTTGGAGATGAGTTTTTTTTGTTTTGTTTTTGCTTTGGTGTTTTTGTAGGGAGGAATTACAGAGATTGAAGACTCGAATGTTTTAAATGGTGGGAGCAGAGATAAAAGAAATGAATGCCTAGGAATCCATTTTATTTTATTTTTTTTTTGTTTTCAAAATTAAGTAAAATAGGCCAGTGAGTCAATTTTAGTTTGTTTTGAAGGGAGGGGTTGTCTTGGCACGAGTTTTAAATGAGTATCTTAGTCACGTAGTTGTGATGTGTATTTTTAGGATTACCCAATTACTTAACTCTTGTTTTCTACCCTTCTAAAGGTAGAAACCTCAGTTTCAGGCTTGAAATTGGGTCAGCTTTGTAGAAAATGGGGTTGATACAGGAATGTTTAATATTCATGCCTGTGATAGTCACTGACTACCTACTAAAAGCAAATTTTTAGAATCTTATGTAAGAGCAATACCCTTACCAACTGTTAAGCTTCGTCTTTTATATTAATAGTTAGCAAACACCATACTTTTCCGGTGTAGATATTTAAAATTACTAAGTAAGCACACAAGTTATTCGTGACAAACTGCAAAAGGTATTGTGTGTCCATGTTGAGGCAAATTCATATGTCAAATATAAATTTTCGTTTATAGATACTGGGAAAATTAGTTGTACAAAATGGAATTTGTGTGGTAACTTTTCTAGCAAAGCATTGTTTAGCAAAATCTACTGGCTAACTTTAGTGGAATGAAGTTTAATTTCCAAAAAGTATCATTGTTTGGTACAACTGATAATTAAGGTAAATGGATATTAGAATAATTTCCAAGGTTTTTAAAAAAAAATACAAACTGTGTGTGAAAGAAAATAATGGTTGCAAATTGTAATATTTTTGCCTGAGTAACTGGGAGAGGAGTGTGGAGAACCTTCAGTTTGGAATAGGTAGTACTGAAGGATTCCCTGTAGTATACACTGATTTAAATTAAATGCTTTTTAACTTCAGTCCTGTTTAAAAGAATGTTTTTAATTTCCTATTTCATTGTATGTGTAGATTTCTTAATTTTTGAGTGTTTTTACCTTAAATTCCATATGAAAATTCATAAACAGGTTTTATGTTTCAGTCTTGTGTGAGGAGTTTGTTCAGTTGCATTTTCTTCTACTTTTTCCCTTATCGTATGCCTTTTGTCCCATTAATCCTTCGTTGGAAAAAGGCAAATTTGTGGTCATGAGCAGTTAGCACTGGGGATAAGTCTAAAACCATTGTTTTTTATTTCACTGCTTTTGTCTTAAAACAAGGCTTTTAGTGTGTTCCACTACAGCTGCAGTTAAAAGTTGGCACAGAGCTTTCTCTACCACTCTTCTCCCTTTTCAAATGTTAGTCCTTGAACATTTAGTATAATTTATTTTAAAGTTAAATAAACTCTTTCCTCTATTTGGCATAATCATTTCTGAAGGCAGTGGGACTGCCAGTCATTCTTTAGATTTTTCATAATATAACACCTTTAACTTTTTACATACTGATAGGTTTCTGACGTCTTTTTCTCCCTGAATTAGTGGGCTCCAGAATGTTTTAACCACAGGATCTGCGTTGGAGACTTTAGACCTGTATTTCACAACTTTTTTTTGCTTCATCCTGCTTTTGCTTATTTAATATCTCTAATCTGTGGGTTTCTTAGCTTTGGGGAGTATTGAGGTAGGAGGGGCAAAGGTAGTTTTTTCCTGTTATCTATATTATAGAATCTTTTGGCCTTGCTATCTTTTTGTCCAGTTTATTGATCTGATTGATGGACTATCTAAATTTCCCTGCTTCTTTGAATTTTTCCTCTAGGGGTCAATTGGTCACAAGAGACAAAGTAGAAGATGACTTAGAACACTGAGAATACCTCTGAACTTATTTTGCTACTGTGGAGCAAGTCAATTTTATGTTACAGTAAAAATAAATTGTTGATCAAGTCAACAGTTAATGAAGACTTTTTAACAAATTTACTTCCTTTGCATTAGTAGGAACTATCTTTTCAAATAACTCCTGATAATGATCATAACTTAGTGTGGGTGCTTTGGTCCTTGGAGCTCCTGCAGTATTTATCTAAAAACATCACAGCAGTGAGTATATATAGAGTCAGAAACCAAGAGTGCCTGTTTCATGATATTCCTAACATAAAAATTTAAATGATAGAGAAAGCTTAAGCTATTTCAGTTAACTTTTTGTAGTTTTGATTTTATTCTGATTAAGGTAATGAAATATAGGTGTGTTCCATTTTTTAGTGAACCCCAAACTGATAATTTAGAAAGCATTTATTATATACTCAAAGTATTCTGTACTAGAACACTTCTTTATTACACTTAACACTGACTTATATTAAAGAAACTCTTAAATAAATTTTTTTTTAAATAAGGGAATATGCATGATTTCTTAAGCTTTATTTGTTCAGGAAAAAAATGAATCTATTTTCTGTCTTCTGTCCCCCTCAAAAAGACCCACACCAGACTTAACCTACTTGCCAATGTCATTTAGATTTTAGTATACTCTATTTTATGGCTTTTTAATTTTTTTTTTTCTTTTTTTGGAGACAGAGTTTTACTCTCTTGCCCAGGCTAGAGTGCCGTGGCGTCAGCCTAGCTCACAGCAACCTCAAAGTCCTGGGCTCAAACCATCCTACTGCCTCAGTCTCCCGAGTAGCTGGGACTATAGGCATGCACCACCATGCCCGGCTAATTTTTTCTATATATGTTTTTAGTTGTCCAGCTAATTTCTTTCTATTTTTAGTAGAGATGGGGTCTCGCTCTTGCTTAGGCTGGTCTTGAACTCCTGACCTCAAGAGATCCTCCTGCCTCGGCCTCCCAGAGTGCTAGGATTACAGGCATGAGCCACGGCACCCAGGCTTTAATTCTTAATATATAGTTGAAGCAATTCTTCTAAGGAACTGATTCTTAGCCTTTTTGGGATATGGATCCTTTTGAGAAACTAGTGAATTTTCTCAGAAAAAATGGGCACACACAAACTAATTTGTATACATTCTCAGAGGGCTAACTGATGAGTTTAAAGTCTTTGTTTTAAAGGATTTGGATAGGCAACTTAAACAACTCTTTAAAATTATAGAAGTGATGCTCTTTTTTCCACCCTCATTTTTCTAACAGTTGTGTGATAAGCCTTTCAGTAGTTAAAAAATTTTATTTTTAAATTTTTTCTGTTAACTTTGAGAATACCTCTTAGGGCATTTAGCTGTCACCTTTTCTGAAGGAAGCTGAAGGAAGCAAGGTGTCTTGAGTGCTGCGTGAACTAAGGCAACATTATAAATGGAAATATAGTTAATGTCCAAGGGTTTTGGGAACTAAATGATGTTTCACTTTTTGTTGTTACTGAGAAAATTTTTCAAAACAAACATGACCCTTTAGTATTTCGTAGAATATGCTTTTATCCTATTTAATTGATTCCAAGATGCATATTTTTCTGTTTTTAACTTCTTTAAATCAGTATGAGTCTTAGAATCTGTGAAGTCTTATAATTGCCATCAGCCAAGTGGTACTTGTGACCTAGTTGTGAGAGAACCTTCCATTGAAATCTTTTGATGATTTTTTTTTTTTTTTTTGGCGGGGAGGTCAAAGTCTTGCTCTGTTGCCTGGGCTAGAGTGCCGTGGCATCAGCCTATCTCACAGCAACCTCAAACTTCTGGGCTCAAGTGATCCTCCTGCCTCAGCCTCCCAAGTAGCTGGGACTATGGGCCTGTCCCACCACACCAGGCTAATTTTTTTTTTTCTATTTTTAGTTGCCTAGCTAATTTCTTTCTTTTTTTAGTAGAGACAGGGTCTCACTCTTGCTGAGGCTGGTCTCAACTCCTGAGCTCAAGTGATCCTCCTGCCTCAGCCTCCCAGAGCGCTAGGATTACAGGCATGAGCCACCATGCCAGCCAATAATTTTTTTTTATCACACCAGCATCACTGTCTTAGACTTGATAAAATAAGGATTATTTCTTACTGGA